GGGAGGAGGTTGTTGATGTACATTGCCTAGATCCCACCACCACCAGTGGGGAGATTTGTGAACTGTTTTAAGTCAGCAACCTTGCTGTCACTCCAATGCTTAACCTCTTAATCTGTGCACTTTTTAACCCTAAAGAATTCCCAATCAGGGCTTATTCATGTTTTATTGGTTATTGACAATTTCTAAAAGAATCAGCAAGTTAAAAAAGATGCGGGTGAATGTTCCATTCTTCTGCTCTGAATGTCATGATGAATTTAATGCACCTTCATGAACAGGTTGGACATTTTGGTTTGTACTAGTGGCCTATATATGATACTACTTTAGGTGACTTTTTTGTGTTCCATCGAGTATATTCTCTAATTGAATGCCAATATCTTTTGAAATAATTATTTCCAGATACTACAGTTTTAAATTAAGAAAATTTTTAACTGATTAAGAAGGAAGTTGCTAAGAAAAATATACATCTTTAATATGGAATTTACTTTTTTGAATTAAGTTATAAAGCTTCAAATCATTTTCACTCTGTAAAATTGGCCCCAATGTGTTTGTTTTACCTATTGTTCCAAGACCAAAAGTAACTATTGGGTTAACTCATCTGACCAAAATAATGTGTGAAGAGAAGATGGTGAGTACATTGCATAAGCATGTCTTCGAAATATGCCCCTAGTAAACCATCATTGGTAGGGGTTGTTTTATTCTCTTGACATTCTAATCAGCCGTGACAAGACTCATTTCATGTTTAGATTAGTCTTTGTCCTTGTTATGTAAACTATTAGGATGTTTGTTTAACATGTTATGGCAGGTTGGCAGACATACATGCCCATACAGACTTTGTGAAAAACCATGGTTTATAGTTTGAAATATTCTAGATAAGTTTTGCATTCATTTCTCCTGCATTATCTTACCATTAGTCATGCACCCAATTCATAGTTATCTTTTTTGGGATACTTGACATTTCCTTACTACCATTTGTTTTGTTTTATTTTATTTTTTTTTTGTGTAAAACTGTGATATTTTAGAACATTTTCTTTTCAGATCCAATCACGTTGCAGTTGAATATTGAGAAAAAAATACGCTGTAATGGAGAAGCAGCCTTAACATACTTGGATAGGAAGATGATAAGCAATCTTAACTCAAGAACAAGCTCAGGGGTATTAAAGGAGCTACTATCTGAAGGAATATTGAAACCTTCGGGAAAAAATTGGATTTCTCTTATGACTACATCTGGAGCTAAGGGTAGTATGGTAAGTCTACTGCATGTGCTGTATTAGGAAAACAAATAGTTTCCTGTGAATGTTATAAGTGGCAGTGTCTAGTACTACACACGTTTTTAAAGTTCTTAAATTCTGTGCATATGATCATAGTGAAATCCATTATCACGTGCTTGATATTATAAAATATCCTATTGAAGAGTAAGCAGATGATGTGCAAAATTATATAAAAAGCATAATGTGTCGTCTGTTTTTATTATTAGTATTTTATTGTTGTGATTCAGGAATTGTGTATATTGTTGTACACATACCAATCTTATTTATAGAGTGAATACAATAAATGATAGAGATACTAATTTCTAATATTATGGAAACTAATCTAATCATATCCCTAATTGATAGTGAGGATAATAGCCATAATATATGTATCCACAATATCTGTAATATATTCACAATATCTGTAACACTCCCCCTCAAGCTGGAGCATATATATCATATGCACCAAGCTTGTTACAAATGTAATCAATCCGAGGTCCTTTAAACGATTTTGTGAACATATTTGCTAACTGGTCACTGGAGGCAGCGGTCAGAGGCAGCGATCGGAGGCAGCGACCGGAAGCGGCGATCGGAGGCGATGGCCACCTGAAGCGACGGTCGGAGTCAGCGACTGGAAGCGGTTGTAGGTGGCGACCGGAAGCGGCGGTTGGAGTTGGCGACCAGAAGCAGCGACCGGAAGCAGCGGTCGGAGTCGGCGATCGGAAGCGACAGTCGGAGTCGGCGACCGGAGGCGATGACCGGAGCGGCGGTCGGAGTTGGCGACCGGAAGTGGTAGTTAGAGGTGGCAATCGGAAGCGGCAGTTGGAGGCGGCGACAGGAAGCGACCAGTGGCGGCAGTGTGACGACCCAAGGTGGCGGTCGGAGGCGACAACTGAAGGCAGCGACCAGAGGTGACGGTCAGCGGCGCAAAAACTGGGGGCACGATGACCGGAGGCTGCAGTCGGAGGTAGCAACC